CTACTAATAAATACTCTTGAGTAACAGTTTTGGATTTTGTGACTATTATAAAAGTTGTAATCTCGGCATGCAAATTGTTGCAATGTTAAAAACCTTAATTCATTACTTGCAATATTTGGTGAAATCATAGACATATTAGGAATTTTAACAATCAGGACTAATTAGTGAATCTATTTTGAGTTTGTTTTCTTTAAATGCACTTGGTGAAAATATTAAATGTTAACCCCTTCAGGACGGGTGACGGACGAGGTCCGTCACACAGGGGAGACCCTTAACGACGGGTGACGGACCTCGTCCGTCACGCGGTAAAATTAACCCCGGATCGCCGCTATCGCGGTGATCGCGGGGTTAATGGTGCTCCCGGTATGCCTCTGCAAGTCTGAGCATGTGCTCTCTATACTCACCTACCGGCTCCCTGCACTTCCGGGTTCTGTGTGAAGTGCAGGGAGCCGGATCAGTGCTGATCCTGCCCCCTGCTGTTTAAAAAAATAAAGTTTATTTAAAGCCCCTCCCCCCATACCCATTTTAATAAAAAATTAACCCCTTCCCTGCCAATTGATCACTGACTACAGTGATCAATTGGCAGGGATTACATTTTACTATGATCTGATTTTTTTTTAACCCCTGAGGGTTAATTTTTTTTTTCTTTTAACCCTCAGGGGGTAAATTAATTAAATTATTTTTTAATTATGTATTTAGATAGCTGGGGTGGGTGGAAGTTAGTGGGGAATTGGGGGATTTGGAGTTAGGCTAACTAGGGGTTAACGTTAAAAAAGTTTTAAAAGAAACTTTAAAAAGTTAAAAATTAAGCTTAAAAAAATGTTTTAATAACATTTAAGTAAAAAAAAACAAAAAAAACACACTTTACCTAGTCCAAATAAAAATTAACCCCTTCCCTGCCAGTCGATCACTGCCTACAGCGATCAAATAGAGATCACAGTATTATACTGTGATCTAATTTTTTTTAACCCCTGAGGATTAACTTTTATTTATTTTTTTTAACCCTCAGGGGTTCAATTTATTTAATTAATTAATTTAAATATTTTATAACTATATATTTTGCTAGCTGGGGTGGGTGGGAGTTATGGGAAAATGGGGAATTTACTGTTAGTGCTGCGTACTGCTAGTTAGGGGTTAACAGTAAAAAAAAAAAGCTTAGAAAAATGTTAAATCTGTAAAAAAGTTTTAAGAAAGTTTAGGAAAGTTTAAAAAAAATTTATAAGCAAAACAAAAGTTTAAAAACTAGTTTTTAAAAGTAAAAAAGTTATAAAAAGTAAAAAAATACATTTTAAAAACGCTCATTACCACTACACCTGGAACAAACTAGAGAAAAAATTATCCCACGCCAAGGTTCAAAATATGCCTTTTGAATTACCCCAGGGTGTATTCTTTAATAAATAGTATGTGTTTGTGGGGAAGTTTCAATAACCAACCGTCTAAACTATTCCAAATTGGAACATGGACACAGCGTAAAACTTCAAAGTTAGAAAAAAACTGAATGGCTGCGTCTCAAATGCGCCCCTTCAACATCCACATATACCTGGCAAAGGTACATACGGGGGTATTGCTGTACTCAGCCGACATAGCTGAGCAACATATGAAGTATTATACAGTCATAGTACACATAAGGTTTGCAAAATATGCTGCGCAAACTCACTTTGTATGTCAAAAAGGCAGAAAAATGCTTATTACCACTACACTTGGTACAAGCTAGCGGAAAAATGATCCCACGCTAAGGTTCAAAATATGCCTTTTGAAATACCCTGGGATGTCTTCTTTAAGAAATGGTATGGCTTTATGGGGAATTTGGATTATATAGCCTGGTAAAATACTCTAAAATGGGACATAGGCACAGCATAAAAATTCAAAGTTTGAAAAAAACTGGAATGGCTGTGTCCCAAATGTGCCCCTCCGATGTCCACACATACCTGGCAAAGGTACATACGGGGGTATTGCTGTACTCAGCCGACATAGCTGAGCAACATATGAAGTATTATACAGTCGTAGCACACATAAGGTTTGCAAAATATACTGTGCAAACTCACTTTGTATGTCAAAAAGGCAGAAAAAACGCTTATTACCACTACATCTGGTACAAGCTAGCGGAAAAATGATCCCACGCTAAGGTTCAAACTATACCTTTTGAAACACCCTGGGGTGTCTACTTTAAGAAATGGTAGGCCTTTGTGGGGTAGTTTGAATTTAAAACCTGCGAAGATGCTTGGAAATTGCACATAGGCCCAGCGTCAAAATTCAAAGTTTGGTAAAAACGGATATGGCTTGGTCTCCTATATGGCACTGTAGCTTCACAAAATAGTGACAAAGACATTCATTGGGGGTGTATTTTTACTCAAAAGACTTAGCTGAGCATAATTTGGGAGGTTTGAACTTAGTGGCACATATGAAATATACAAAACGCCCAGCAAAAATGCAATCCGTATGTAAAAAATGCACAAAATAATTTTTTTTACCACATACTTTGGCATATATTGGTGAAAAAATGGGGGTATGTTAAGGCACAATATGCACCTTATGAGATACCCTGGAGTGTCTACTTTTACAAATGGTAGGCCTTTGTGGGGTTTTTTTGAACAGTCAAACTGTTATAATACCCCAAATGGAAGCTAAGGCTCATTAAATCCATCTCTCAAAATTCTACTGTGAATACTGTAAAGGACAGGTCTCCTATATGGCACTGTAGCTTCACGAAATAGTGCCAAAGACATTCATATGGGGTGTCATTTTACTCAGAAGACTTAGCTGAGCATAATTTGGGGGGTTTGAACTTAGTGGCACATATGAAATATACAAAACGCCCAGCAAAAATGCAATCCGTATGTAAAAAATGCACAAAATTATTTTTTACCACATACTTTGGCATATATTGGTGAAAAAATGGGGGCATGTTAAGGCACAATATGCACCTTATAAGATACCCTGGAGTGTCTACTTTTACAAATGGTAGGCCTTTGTGGGGGTTTTTTGAACAGTCAAACTGTTATAATACCCCAAATGGAAGCTAAGGCTCATTAAATTCATCTCTCAAAATTCTACTGTGAATACTGAAAAGGACAGGTATCCTGTATGGCACTGTAACTTCACGAAATAGTGCAAAAGACATACAATGGGGGTGTCATTTTACTCAGCAGATGTAACTGAACACAAAATAAAACTTTGTACAGGAATAGCACACACCAACTTTACAAAATATACACGAGAATTTCTCTGTTATAAGTTTGTGTGCCAAAAACCAAAAAGAACACAATTTTACTCCAATATTTAGCAGAGGTTGGCGGTGAAATGGCTACGTAGAAAGTGTCAAAACAACCTTAGGTAAATAGCCCGTGATGTCTACTTTATATAAATATATACTTTTGTGTGGCAATTTTGTTTTCTTTTATGGCTATTAAGCTTACAAGACAAACATACCAAATTCTAAAATCGCTCCACATTAAAATTTTATTTTACTCCTTGTGCTTTGTGACCTGTAACTACCAAAAAAAACTTAAAATCCCAGACACATTATATATTCTGTAAATCAGAACAAATAAATAAATTTATTTTTAATTACTTTCCTTAACCTGCACTAATTATGCACACATTATTATTGCAAAAACTGTAAAAAAAAACAATATTTTTCATTTTTTTTGCATTTTTCTGTATTTTTTTTATAATAAGTAAGCATTTATATATATATATGTTATATCAAATTAAAGCCCTTTCTGTCCTTTAAAAACAGTATATAATATGTGTCGGTGCAATAAATGAGAGAGATGCAAATTGCAGTTGAACGCAAACAGCAAGAAAATGCAAAAATTGCTTGTGTCATTAAGCGTAAGTCAAGCTTCTGAAGCTGTGTCCTTAAGGGGTTAATTTGTTTTTTTACAGGTGTTCAACAGCATACATTCACCGTTTTGGTCCCATTACCAAACATTTCTTAAAGGGACACTACAGTCACCTGAACAACTTTAGCGTAATGAAGCAGTTTTGGTGTATAGAACATGCCCCTGCAGCCTCACTGCTCAATCCTCTGCCATTTAGGAGTTAAATCCCTTTGTTTATGAACCCTAGTCACACCTCCCTGCATGTGACTTGCACAGCCTTCCATAAACACTTCCTGTAAAGAGAGCCCTATTTAGGCTTTCTTTATTGCAAGTTCTGTTTAGTTAAGATTTTCTTATGCCATGCTATGTTAATAGCTTGCTAGACCCTGCAAGACCCTCCTGTATGTGATTAAAGTTCAATTTAGAGATTGAGATACAATTATTTAAGGTAAATTACATCTGTTTGAAAGTGAAACCAGTTTTTTTTTTCATGCAGGCTCTGTCAATCATAGCCAGGGGAGGTGTGGCTAGGGCTGTATAAACAGAAAGCTAAAGTAATTTAGGTGACTATAGTGTTCCTTTAATATGTCAAGGTAGTTGGACTGAAACGATGGTTATATGCTAATGCACGTCTCCTTAAAATAAATTCGCTCTTTTGTTCACTTTGAAGCCCTACAAGCGTGAGGACGTCCAGTGTCAGTTCGGTAACTTTTTTTTTTTTATACTGTACTTTCCGAAATATTTTTTTTGCGGCCCAAGTAAATGTGCTTATTTGGCCCGATTTAGCCTTTGAGTTTGACATGCTTGTCCTACAGTCTCACTGCTCAATCTGGGAGTTAAAGTGCAATATAAGAGGCGTGAGAATATCAGCTTATTAAGAGAGCATTTTCATAGATGTATATAATGGAGCTTAACACTGTTCCTGTGTGTCCAAATTGTCTTGTTGCAAATACATCTGTTAGTCCACCTATTGTACAGCGCTACAGAATTTGTTGGCGCTTTATAAATAATAAAACTTCGGATTAGTTCTTTGTAAGCACACACTGCTATCGTTAAAATGCAGAAAATTGAGTCATGCTTCATATCTGCATCTTTCTAGTTTGTGAAAAAATTGGGGTATAGCAAATAGGATTCTTTTTCCAATTCCAGGTAATAGATAATTCCTTATAATCCCCGTTAATATTGTTTTAATTCAGCCAAACTGGTGTGGTACCATGCTACTTTACTGGCAGTAAATGATTCAGGGTTCTGGGTAAGAAACTGCTCATCATAGGGATTGGGCCATATCTGGTCACACCAGTCTGTATGCCTGGAGTTGCAGAAACGATAGGGATGTCAGGAGGTGAAATCATTGGAATGGGGAATCCAGTCATATGTGTTTTGGGCAGCGTCAGGGAAATCACCTGTGTCACTCACTGAGGCGCTGTAGTCTCAGAATCGGCCGTTAAAATTTTATAATCCTCCTCGCTTTTAAGCATTTTCAGACTGCACTTTATAACTACAACTAAACTACCATAAAAATAGATTTTTTTTGCTTTGTTTAAACTTTTTTTTAACCCCTAACTATCCTAACACTGAATTTCCCACTGCTACCCACACCAGCTATCTAAATCACAGAATTCAAATAAATTGAATAAAATAAATAAAAAAATACATTATGCCCTTGAGGGTTACAAAAAAAATAATAATCAATATTAACCCCAGTGTCCCAAACGTGGCAGATTCATGGACATGGCTGAATGACTGTGTTTGATCCAGGAGTTCCCCTAGATCCAAGCCTTGCCAAAGGTATCCAGGTCCCCCTAAACAACAGCGTAATGTGGTAACCGTCACTAAGTATATATTACGAACTGAAAAAAGATTTACAAAGGCTGCATTTTTATAAAGCAGTTTAATAGCACTAATAAATTTACATGATAAGGATATAAGACAGTTGTGTGACAAAATAAATTGCACACTTGGGATGGTATTTGGCACCGACACGCAGCGCATTACATCTTACTTGAGATCAATCCAAGTTTTAACAGCTTCAACCAAAGGATTTATAGCAAATAAAATATAACTTGTCTAGCTCAGGGATGTTGACACATACCTGCAAGCATTTATATATGGAATACCTGTCATTGATGGAGCCTCTTTCCTTTGTCCTTCTTGGTTTGTAGTTCCTTCATATGCTACCGTGACATCGTAGACAGCATCAAGGTGGTTCTGCATCGCGTCAATTGCAACATGGGTAGCCTTCACACGTGGAGTCAACACATGTTTCAATACTGGAAGACCTAGAAAAAGGAAATCTTTACCTATAGAAATGTATCACATATCATTGTAATACTTGGCAGCCACAGACAATATACAGCAGAGCCAGATTACTCAAAGGAACACTATAGCACGAGAAATACCCAATACCCAATGCTATAGTGTTCTGGTCCACACTGGTCTCAGCAGCACTTGAATCAATGCTTTTCTATTGGGCTTCTGTGTCACGTGACTGAGTTTTATTCCGTCAGTGCAGCGGAAGTGCCTCTGATGGCTGTCAAACTGACTGTCATTACAGGTGGACTTAAAGGGACACTCCGAGCACCTATAAATGTTTTGCAAAATGTGGCACCGTGAGCCTGCCATTTTAGATACATCACCATACTGAAAAAGACCTTCTTATCAAAAAGGTATGCAACAGATTAGCCACTGACACCACTAAGCGATCTGAACTACAAATCAACATTATAACATTATCACATTATAACTAGAGGACACCTAGACATAATGTTTTACATTGTAGGGTTAAGGGGCCAGAGGCACTACACCCAGCATCCATCTCAATGAAGTGGTAGTATTTTTACACTGACACCTGTAAAGGTGGGGGATATATTAGGCAGAAAGTGAGCAGTCAGTTATTTCATTGCTTGTGTTGAAAGCAGGTGAAATGGGCAAAAAGCCTGAGTGACTGACAAGGGCCATATAGTAATGAGTAGATGACTTGTCAGAGCATTGGCAAAATGTCAAGTCTCGTGGGATGTTCTGTATGCAGTGGTTAGTAACTACCAAAAGCGGTGCAGGAAAGGCTAAAATCGACATCGAGGTCATGGGCACTCAAAGATCATTGTTGAAGCACGTGGGGAACGAAGACTAGCCCTTCTGGTCCGATCACACAGAAGAGCTACTGTAGCTCCAATTGCTGAAAAATCTAATGCTGGACATGATAGAAAGTAGTCAGAACACAGAGTGCATTGCTGTTTGCTGCATATGGGGTTGCATGGACACAGTCTGGTCCCATTTTTTAAAATTATATAATACTCAGCAATGGTAAGGCTTAATAATCACAATGTTCAGATCTAAAAATGAAAATACCACAGACTAAGCTTCTTCTTCATTCAGTTACTTCACCGTAGCCATGTACCCTAGCTAAAGGGACACTATAGGCACCCAGACCACTTCAGCTCATTGAAGCATGTTTACATTGCTGCATAAGTCTGCCTTAAGTCTTGGAGACAGCCACTGGACGCCCTTCCTGCATCCAAACAGACCTTTGATCCCGTATCTGATGCTGGGTGTCCTCACGCTCTGCATGAGGACATCAAGTGTCAGATTTTTTTCCCTCTAGGAAACTACTGATCCACTGCTTTTTTATAGGGAGATTCTAATGCGTGCGGCGCTTGATGCATATGTGCATTAGTGCCCCCTTATTAAGCACTGTCAGAGGAGGTGGAGCAGTTACCCAGCGCCAAGGGACATCGGTGCTGGGATTGGGCATGTAAATAAAGGGTTTTTAACCCTTTAGAAAACTGAGGACGGAAGTGCGTGAGGGAGGGGGCTGGCAGAGGGGCTATAGTGTCAGGAATACATCCTTGCACTTTTAGTATCCTTTTAACCATGTACAACTCTATAATTTTGAAATATTCAGATCTCTACTGCAGGGATTGATCACATGCAGCACTTTTATAACACACAAGTCTAAATCCATGATATTATGGGTTTCTGAGTATTATGTCATTTAGAAGTACAATGTCCTGATAAAAAGGTCTTGCTCTATCATCATAAGAACTGAAAAAAGCTGCAGTTTTGTGGTTTTTTTATGAGAATGTATTTTTGTGCATCTGTAGAGTTTAAGGATCCTGTGAGAAAATCTAATCTCCCTGTGAGTCTTTATCGTATGTTGCGCCAACATGACAGCATGAGTTTTCAGTAAAAAGAAAAAAAAAATGCATTATTGCCTGGAATTAAGTCAACCACTTTCTAAGAAGAATTAAAAGAAGTCCTTAAAATAGCCCAAAAGCTTATAAATGACTGCTTTGAGACTGCAGCTTTAAGACTCCGATAAATGAAGACCATTACTGAATCACTGGGCGGATCGTTTGGTCAAGTCAAAAGCCATGGCCTGCTGAGGGTATCAGACACTAAGCTGAGAGTTTACAGTCGTGGGAATGGTGTTTTTAAATCCTCAAAAGTTTATTTCACCTAGATATGAAATCAGTAATATTAAACAGATGTAGACATGTTTTTGTTCTAAACTGTGACTGAGCTACTAATCCATTACTGCCATCTGAAGGTTGTCTGAGGATAAGTTTACATGCTTCTTAATGTATGTTAAGTCATGGCAAATACATGTAGGCCTACAAAGGGTGTCTCTCAGTCATCTCTGAATTATGTTTTTCAATATGGCTTCCTGAATGCATATATTTTTTTTCTACTTTTGTGTCTAGTGATGTGGAAAGATCTGCTTTGACTCCATCTTATGCTCTTTGAGAAAACATCCGGTCACATTCCTGAATATTAAAGGAACACTTAAGTGTTAGGAATACAAACATGTATTCCTAACACTATAATGTTGCTCTAACTCCGTACCGCCCCGATTCCCCCGTCCATTAAAAGGTTAAAAAAAACAAACCTCTCTTTCACTCACCTGATTCCAGCACTGATGTCCCTCGATACTGGGTCGCATTCCTCCTGTGCCATCAGCTGATGGGGGAACCTGCCGCGAGCACACTAGGACTCTCCATAGGAAAGCATCAACTTGGTGCTTTTCTTCGGAGTATTGCTTGACAATGGATGTCTTCATGTAAAGCATGAGGTCGTGCAGCGCTGTTTCATGGAGTTAAGACTAGAGTGTTAAGACTAGAGGCAATCTGAACACTGCAATGTAAACATTTTCTGTAAAACTGCAATGTATTACATTGACAGGCTAAGGGAACAGGAACACTGCACCCAGACCACTTCAATTAGATTAACTGGTCTGGGTGTCTATAGTGTCTCTTTAAATGCTTTAACGTGGAAGTATACTGAAAATCAGCAACAATGGCTTTAAGAAATTGCTCTCTGAAGCCAAACACACTGAACACACTTGGGGAAGAAAATAAATAATGCCATGATAGTATGAGGTTTGGGTGATAGGGATATACATATCTGAAAAGAGTTACTAGGCATGCATTTTATTGAAGCTTCTGTATGCAAATTCCCATTGTTAGTTTTACCTTCTTTCATGGCAAATGCCTGGCTGTCAACTATGACCTTTGGGATGTCTGGATTGTAACGAGTGCCTTCAGGGAAAATCACAAGATACATCTGTAAAATATGTAAAACGATCAGAACTTTTACTTTATCTTAATTAATGTATTAAAGCATTCATACTTACTACCTGCAATAAATCATTTGCAATTTATGAAAACAAAATATGTCCTGTATGTTAGAAGGTCTACTGGCTTCATCAAATAAATGTACATTCATGCACCAGAATTTCAAGTAATACATGGCAATTCTAAGAGATGCAAGAGTCCTTAGCTTAGCCAATTTCTATGATGTGCCACCATCATGTGTTTATGCCACTAATCAGAATGTCTCAAGCAACAAAATGCAAGTTTATCTGCAACTGAATTAAAAAAATGGCAATATAAGTTTTAAGTTCTCTAACACCTTGTATTTGATTAGTTTCCCTGGACTGAGCTCCTAAACAAAGTTCAAAAGGATATCAAGATAGATTACACAGTTTTAACCTCTACAATTCTATAGAATCCATAGTTTGATTGTGGTCTTTCAGTTTATGTCCCTTGATACAGACTATCATCTTTTACAGCAAGCATGTCAAACTCAAAGGCTAAGAATGGCCAAAGAAATAAGGTTTAAGTTTATGTGGGCTGCAAAAAAACAAAAATGTCAGTTTTCATAGAAACATAGGTTTATTTTGAAAGGTACAGTATAAAAAAAAGTTGCTTGACACTGGACAACCTCACGCTTGTAGGGCTCCAAAGTAAACAAAAGAGCGCATTTATTTTAAGGAAACGTGCATTCGCATATAACCAATGTTTCAGTCCAACTACCTTGACATATTGTTTGGTAATGGGACTGAAATGGTGAATGTATGCTGTTGCACAGCTGTAAAACATACAAATATGTCAGCAGACGGGGGGAGACCTAATGCACATTAGATCTCCCCATAGGAAAGCATTATGCAATGCTGTCCTATGGGGATTCCAGCAACGCCGGAGGTTCTCATGCATAGCGTGTGGACGTCCAGCGTTGTTTAAAACACTTTTCGTGTTCTAAGAAGCTGATAGACAGCCACTAGAGGAGGACTTAACCCTGCAAGGTAATTATTGCAGTTTACAAAAACTGCAATAATTACACTTGCAGGGTTAAGGGTTATGGGAGTTGGCACCCAGATCACTCCAATGGGCAGAAGAAGTGTCCCTTTAACTCAGATCTACTGAAAACATATGTTAAACAATTTTACCTGTACCATATGACCTCATCAACATTATCAAAAAGAAATCTCAAACAAATAATGGTGCTGCATTTGGGTAACATTGTATCATTGAGCACTATTACCAGGGAAATGCTAGTCCTCTATCACATAGACATAGAAACATAGAATGTGACAGCCATTCGGCCATCTAGTCTGCTCAACTTTCTAAATACTTTTATTAGTCCGTGGCCTTATCTTATAGCTAGGATAGCCTTATGCCTATCCCACGCATGCTTAAACTCCTTCACTGTGTTAACCTCTACCACTTCAGCTGGAAGGCTATTCCATGCATCCACTACCCTCTAGGTCAGGCTTCCCCAAACTCCAGCCCTCTAGATGTTGCTGAACTACAACTCCCATGATTCTATGAATGAAATAGATAGGCTGGGAATCATAGGAGTTGTAGTTCAGCAACATCTGGAGGGCCGGAGTTTGGGGAAGCCTGCTCTAGGTAAAGTAATACTTCCTGATATCATTTTAAACCCTTGCCCCTCTAATTTAAGACTATGTCCTCTTGTTGAGATAGCCTTTCTTCTTTTAAATATAGTCTCCTCCATTACTGTGTTGATTCCCTTTATGTATTTAAATGTTTCTATCATATCCCCCCTGTCTCGTCTTTCCTCCAAGCTATACATGTTAAGATCCTTTAACATTTCCTGGTAAGTTTTATCCTGCAATCCATGAACCAGTTTAGTAACCCTTCTCTGAACTCTCTCTAAAGCATGGGTCGTCATCCTGGTTCCAACAGCCTACTGGTGGGCACACATGAAAGTGCGAACGCGTGCAAACACGAGAATGCGTGCACGCGAACACATACATGCATGCGCAAACGTGTAACACGTGGAAAGAGGAAGAGGAGGAGTGGGAGCTGATGCCCGATAGCAGGGACAGGCTGAAGCAGGTACAAGCGGAGCAGAGCAGTTGTAAAATAGGAGAAAGAAAAGTTATAGGCAGGACAAGGAGAGAATTGTTGTTGGCTAATAATAATAATAATAATAATAATAATAAGTGGGCTAACTAGCTCAGCCTTACTTTTGTACAATGCCATAAGCAGGGTAAAAGAAAAGCATTAAAAAAAAAAAGGAGATAAAAAGGAAAAGATTTTAAAAAAAAGGGGAATAAAAATAGAAAAAAAGGGGATAAAATAAAGGAGGAGTACTTGTAAAAAAGGAGAAAGAAGGAGCAGAGTACTTGCAGAATAGAAGAAAGAAGGAGCAGAATATTTGTAAAAAGGTGAAAGAAGGAGCAGAGTACTTGTAAAAAGGAGAAAGAAGGAGCAGAGTACTTGTAAAAAGGAGAAAGCAGGAGCAGAGTACTTGTAGAATAGAAGAAAGCAGGAGCAGAGTACTTGTAGAATAGAAGAAAGAAGGAGCAGAGTACTTGTGGAAGAGAAGAAAGAAAGAGCAGACTACTTGTAAAAAAGGAGAAAGAAGGAAAATAAAAAATAGGAAAAGGAGAGAATTGTTGTTGGCTAATAACAGTAAGTGGGATACTTAGCTCAGCCTTCCTGCTGGGCATTGCTATAAGGAAGGTCAAAAGGAAAGAAATAAGGAAAATGGAAATTGAGGAGGAGAGCTGACGTACAGATGAGAAATCATATTATGCGCAAACAGAGAAGTAGTCTGAATATCACCAAAAGAGGAGACCAAGATTTCAAATAGTCTCGCAGCATCAACCTCAAGGATCTCATTAATCACTAGTTAAAGGTAATTTCAATTTACTTTATTGTTTTCTCATTAAACTTTCTAAAGTTAAAAACATTATAAACATGCATTAAGTAGAAATAAAAAGATAAATGTACGTACATTTATTTTTTTAAAAACACCCTTTTTAAAAAATAGTCTGCACTTGCGCGAAAACTGGTGGGTGGTAAAGAAATTTTTCCATCAAGAAAGATGCATTAGTGGGCGGTAGGTAGAAAAAGGTTGACTACCCCTGCTTTAAAGTATCTTCTGGAGATATGGTCTCCAGTACAGCGTACAATACTCCAAGTGAGGTCTCACCAGTGTTCTGTATAATGGCATGAGCACTTCCCTCTTTCTACTGCTAATACCTCTCCCTATACAACCAAGCATTCTGATAGCATTCCCTGCTTTATTACATTTTCTGCCTAATCCAGTTAATACAAAAATGAAATGTGCATAAATATACTGTACAATATAGTAAAATGCAAATTTAGTTCATAACAACAAACCCAAGTTAAAAACATAAATGATGGCCTTGATTAATACCATAATACTGAAACGTATTTTTAAATGGGCAAGTTGCTTTGAATAGAAATTTCCTTTTTCACAATGAGTGAGAGCTTAAAGTAAAATTGCCATTGTTTGTTATTACTGAATATAAAAAGATTGCCTGTATTATAGGTTCTATCTGTATTATTGAAATCCATTCATACAAGACAATTATATTTTTATAGCATTTCCTATCTCACCCTTGCTCTGTCAGGATAGACATCTTTACATATTATTTGGTTTGACACCAAGCATCTGCCAAAGCTGTGCACAATATGAACATTCGATTACCGCTCAAAGTGTATTTTTAAGATGTCCCCCATTGAGTAAGAGTAGGGCTGGAGATGCCCTGAAATCCATTTACTTATATATATGTATGCATTACAAAATAATATTCACAAATGCTATAATACACCTATGTATTTTATTTAAAATAAACTATGACAGTTTCCTTTCAATAGTTGCAAAAGCTATACATCCCAAGGCGTCAGTCTATAAAAGGATATGGAACAATTTGGAAAAATTAGGAGGGCTACTTGAAGGCTAATGCCCAGATATAAGGTCATAATAAGAGGATTACTTGTGGATATATATATATTTTTTTTTTTTTTTAAAAACATCACCTAATTGAGCCTGGATTTGGTTGTTTGGCTACAATTTAAAGTTTAGTGGTGCAACACCCAAGTCTAAAGTTGATTCAGTACAAAGAGCATGTAAAATATCTGGTGACTCCCAATAGCTGTCTGGATTAATCTCAGCTACTGCAAACAAACCCTGACACCGATTTCTGACAGTTTTGCCGGTTTAAATACACAAAACCACAGAGCAACCCTATAGAGCATGCCAATCCACACATGCACACTTAGATCCTTTACTCATTTCTTTTCATCTAGGGATTAAATTGTCAGCGAAACCGCTCATATGCTTGAAGGAATAAGACTGCTAGAAAAGGCTTACAAACATGATACAAGTTTTGCTAAATTATTCATAACATAAGCCTAAGCAGATCTTGTTTGAGTAGCAAAACTATAGGCTTATCCTTGTTTGCAGTAGGTTTACCTTGTGACCTAACTTTGATAAATACCCTATGAAACCAGTATGCTCTCAACTATAGCACATTCGACATACTACCACCCCCAGGTAGAAGATGTTATGGGTCTTGCCTGTAACTTAATGTAGTATCAGACTTGCTGTAGTTCAAATTTGAAGTAGAAGAACTAGGAGGCTAGTGCTTATACATGGCAAATTACCAAACCTTTATGGTCTCTAGGAGTAGTATTTGATTGAAAACAGAGCCTGACTCATGCTCAAAGGCAAAGCGCTTTTAGTGGTTGTCAGGTAGGTTTAACCCTGCAATAAGAACACTGCCATCTGTACAAAATGACAGTTTATTGCATGGCTAAAACAGCAGTGGCACTTGCATTAGTGTTTCAGGCTGGCTAATGTTAATTCTGTGCATATTGGGGTCCATTCTCATAGGATTCTGGTGACCGTTGACCAATGACAAAATGCCCCGTCCCTCCCCCACAGTGAGTGCATAACTAGAACAGGATCAGGCTGCAGAGAGAATATGGCTTCAGTGTTTGATTACACCAAATGACCACTTATATAAAATAACCTTGTTACACCCCTCCCCAAAATGTTAATAAAAAAACGACTGTAAGGATTAATGAGAGATTGAACACTCCATCCCTAAAAGAGTTAATGTGAGACTAACATTAAGCCTTTCAGGGATGAAGTTTTAGTCAATCTCATATGAATCCTTACACCGGCCCTGTTACTTCCTGGTTTGGTTAGCTCAGTGGAGTTTAACTCAAAAGGCAGGCGATTGCCTTGAGCAGCTGCCTTGCAATGACTTCTCAATGAGCTGCATTGGAAAATGTTTGACTGGACAGCCACAGAAAGTCTGGGTGGGTTTAGAAGGGGAGGGCTTGCCAAGGCAGTAGACGAGAACTACAGCTTTTGCGAGCTGGTTTTAGATATACTTCCAATTAAATAATGTATGTTTTCGTTGAGGGTAAATATCTACTAAACAATGATTTTTTTCTTTATATAACACTAATAATATAGACACATCTCCTGAAGCAAGTTTATCCATGTAAACGGGAAAAGTAGATTTTTTAATTTTTATTTTGGAACAATTAAATAAAAGCTAAGTTTTACTTACACAACACAGAAGAAAGTGTTGGAGTGCTATTACTTAAAGTGTACTACATTAAATTGCAGAGCAGCCCAAAGATGGCTGCCCTCACCTGAACATGTATATATTACAGGGTGCTGCTGTGGCCAATTTACACAACATAGAAAATACAGAATCCAGCGCACTCACTTATTCACTAAACAATGATTTCAAATCTTAGAGATTGTAATAGTTTTGTTTAAAAAACACCTCACCTAGGCAAAATATAATGGGGGTTTAGTTACATTATTATTTTATTATTTATATAGCAGCATCAGATTCGGTAGCGCTGTACAATGATGTGATCATAAATTGCATAAGCCTGCCACAACGCCAATGTACCCCATTCTTGGGGCACGCTTATGCAATGTATCTGCAATAACATGCACAATGGATACCTTTGGCACTTTATTGAACAGGCACAAGATAAGCTATTCAAGATACTGCATTCAACTGGAATCCTCCGTGGACTCTGCTTTGTCTTACAGCGAAAGCGTTAGAATTGGATGCACAAATGAAGTCAATAGGAGACAAATAAGTATGGCAGCGCTGAAGAGGGACAGAATAAATATATTTCATTGCATATGAAAGCAAATATGACACCTTGCCGAGTCTTTGAAAAAATGTGAAGAACCCACTTGTTGCACGTTCACTTTAAAAAGGCATTGGTAACGATTGAAGTGTTTTTGAAAAACAAACTATGAAAAATTATACATGCACGTCAGAGGAAAAAAAAAATGTAGACAATAATGGTAAATTTTGAGGCTGGACAAAAGTGGTAAATGTTGTCCCTTAGGGTTCTGTTTTAGGACCGCTTCTATTTAACATATTTATAAATGATCTTGAAATAGGCATTGAAAGGCATGTAACAGTGTTTGCAGATGACACAAGACTTTGTAAAGTAATAAAATGTGAGCAGGATATTGCTTTGCTGCAGAGAGATTTAGATAGATTGGGGGACTGGACACTAGAATGGCAGATGAAATTTAACGTAGAGAAATGCAAAGTTATGCACTTCAGGGTCAAGAATGCACAAGCAACTTACACCCTAAATGGTAGTGAATTAGGGATAACCACACACAAGATGGATTTGGGAATTGTTATAGACAGCAAATTAGGCAGCAATATGCAATGTCAATCTGCAGTTGCTAAGGCCAGTAAGGTTTTGTCATGTATAAATAGGGGCATAAATTCTCGGATGAAAAAATGTATTTGCCTCTTTATAAATCGCTGGTAAGATTACACCTTGAATATACTGTGCGATTTTGGGCACCTGTTCTAAAGAAGGATATCATGGCACTAGGAAAAGTGCAGAGACTAGCTACAAAATTGATAAAAGGAATGGAGCATTTTAGTTACGAAGAAAGGTTAAAGAATTTAAATCTCTTTAGTTTGGAAAAACGGCGCCTCAGAGGGGATATGATCCCATTATACAAATATATTCGGGGCCAGTACAAACCATTATCTGGAAATCTATTCATAAACAGGGATTTACATAGGACACAAGGTCACACATTTAGGCTGGAAGAAAGGAGATTTCATCTAAGGCAAAGAAATGTTTTTTTTTTTTTACAGTAAGAGCCATAAGGATATGGAATTCTCTGCTTGAAGAGGTGGTTTTATCAGAGTCCATACAGGTGTTTAAACTGCAATTGGATAAATACTTGCAAAACCATAACATACAGGAATATAATTTCTAATTAGTGGGGTAATAGCTGCTTAATCCAAGGAGACATCTGACTGCTATTTTGGGGTCAAGAAGGAATTCTTTCCTAGTTTGTTGCAAAATTGGAAGCGCTTCAGACTAGATTTTTTTTTTGTTGTCTTCTTTTGGATCAACAGCAAAAACATACTCGAGGAAGGCTGAACTTGATGGACGCAAGTCTCTATTCAGCTATGTAACTATGTAACAGACAACAAAAGTTAATTTTTACACAACACTGAGCAGTGCCAAATATAAAGTCCATCATTGCAAAAAAAAAACATAAGGCTATTAAATTACTAACTTTGCCATGATAGTAAAAGCCAGATCCCAACAAATATGACATACAGAGTATATAATTGCAGAAAATTACTGGAACATACTATAAATATTGTCAAGCAAAATTAGGCATCAAATAAGCAAACCAAATACATTATTATAGTATTACAAGTACGAAAGTACAATAATCCAAGAGTATTTCAAGATAGTCATCAACACTACATCAAAAACAAATAATGTAATTTATAGTTCAAAATTTCTAATAGTTAAAGGGACACTATAGTCACCAGAACAACTACAGCCTAATGTAGTTGTTTTGGCAAGTATAATCATTGCCTGCTTGCATTTTAATGCAAACAGAGAAAAGGCAGTGTTTACATTGCCCTCTAGGGACACCTCCAAGTGGCCACTCCTCAGATGGCCACTGGAAGGGCTTCTTGGCTCAGTGCTGCACAGTAGGGGGCACTGCTGTTCAGTGTCTCCACGCTCTGCATGGGGATGCTGAATTTTCCTCATAGAGATGCATTGATTCAATGCATCTGTATGAGGAGGTGTTGATTGGCTAAAACAGCGTTTGGCGCCGCCCCCACTCTGATTTTAGCCAACCCAATGCTCTTACTGATCATTATTGAGGCTGAGCGCTTGAACTCCACTGTATCACACTGCTGCAATCTACATTTTTGTTACCAAGTTGTTCACCTTCAGAAATACAGTTTACTGGCTGCACAGCAGCTGTTAAACCTGCATATAAAGTAGCAGTTTCTATTTTGGACCCCAGTTACAACAACTCTCCGGCACTTTGGAACAGCTTTGCCAGATCATACAAGACCTTCTCTGTTTGCTACTCTTGACTGTTGCTTCCTGCTATAGGCATTTTTGGGGCTGAGGCTTTGAACTATCACTTCTACTGGGCCTTTCAAGGGTTATCTGGACATATTTTCAATTTCCACGGATTAGCTCTATATCCTGTCTAACCACAGTTTTTCTCAAGAAAGCCAACGAAGTAGGCCTGCAAACATTTATGTGCATTCTCCTGTCAGAGAGCCATGTCATTTCAGTTTTACCAAACATGTTACCTGATATTAACATATGTTTGAAAATAGTTTCATGTCTACTATTCCTTAAAGGGACCGTCCAGACACTTAAAGCACTTCTGCTTGACCTCTTAGTGACCAGACCACTTTTCAATTTTCTTACCGTTTGGGATCAGAGCTGTTTTTACATGTCTGCGGTGTTTGTGTTTAGCTGTAATTATCCTCTTACTCATTTACTGTACCCACACATATTATGTGGGTTTTTTTGCCATTAAATGGTCTTTCTAAAGATACCATAATTTTCATCATATTATCTAATTTACTATACATTTTTTTTTTATAAAATATGATGAAATCTTTTTTTTAAAAAGCACACTTTTTCGAACTTTGACCACCAAAATCAGTTACGTATCTACAACCGCCAGAAAACACCCGTGCAAAATAGTTTCTAAATTTTGTCCTGAGTTTAGAAATACCCAAATGTTAACATGTTCTTAGCTTTTTTTGGAAAGTTATAGGGCAATAAGTTCAAGTAGCACTTTGCTATTTCCAAACCATTTTTTTATTTTTTAACGCAAGTGAATCCCTGAACAACCCTCCACATGTATAGATTTTTTAAGAGAAGACAACTTAAGGTATTAAACTTGGGGTATTTTGACTCTTTTCATGCAACCATTTTACCACCAATCTATGCCAAATAAAACAAAAATAATTTGTGATTTTTTTTGACACACACAGCAATTTAAGAATACATATACAGAGAACTTGAAGGGTTTCTGCCAAAGAACACCACAATATGTGTTCAGCACAGCAACATCTCCTGGGTACAATGATACCATCAATGGTCGGGTTCTTTGGGGGCTGAAAGACCTTATTTGGAGGGTGCGCATTCCAGTTTTCCAACTTGGAATGTTCACAGATGGTCATCATGCACCCATGTCCTATTTGGGACATTTCTGAAGCTGGCCAATGTAATTTACCCCCCTCAAACCATATATTTTTATAAAACTTTTTTTACTTTTTCACCAGTAGCAATAGGTTGACTATCTTAACTGATCTTACGCGGTTTCTAGATGAATGACTTGCAATTATTTACCACCCAGTTAACAAGCTTAGCCTTCCACTTCCATTATACCGCTCATATCTTCTGGAATCCCTCCAGTATTGTCTACACTCTGCATTGCGACTGCTTCACTCTGTTACTGGGTGCAGGGTCTCCCAAGCCTGGCAAGATGCTACCTTATTCATCTACTTTTCATATTTTCCCCACATCTCTTTCTGTTCTCTCCATGCCTTTGTCTCAACATTACCTATTGTCTCTATATTATTATTCTATACCTTATAGCATCCTTTACACAGTTACACTAGCTCTGTGTGACTTTGTAATTGATCAGTGTAAGTATTTTCACACTACGTTCTATTACCTTCGATTTGTTTGTATGGGGTTTATAACCTAACAAATTAAAGGGGCACTATAACCATTTCATCTCACTGAATTACCTCCATGCAATTTAAATAAACACTATAGGGTCAGGAACACAAAAATGTATTCCTGACCCTATAGTGTGAAAAACACCATCTAGCTCCCCTAACTCTTCCTAATTATAGCAAAATCTTACATTTATTGCAGTCTGCTGTTGCTGGCTCTGTCCCAATCTTCCTGCTTGACTGACATCAGTGGTGGTCGGAACCAATCACAATTCTTTCATATTGGATTGGCTGAGATTGTCAGTGATTCAGATCAGGGGCAGATACAGCACAAGCCAAAATCAGACCTGGCCAATCAGCATCTCGTCATAAAGTTCCATTGAATCAATGCAGCTCTATGAGGAAAGTTCAGTGTCTTCATGCAGAGTGTGGAGTTAATGAATAGCAGTGCTGCACGTTGTGCAGCTCTTCCCAAGGAAGCATCTCTAGCAGCCATATGAGGAGTGGCCAGTGGAAGTATCCCTAGGCTTTAATGTAAACACTGCATTTTCTCTGAAAAGGCAATGTTTACTCCAAAAAGCCTGAAGGGTATACTCACCAAAGCAAATACAATTAGCTGTAGTTGTTCTGGTGACTATAGTCCCTTTAAATAATTTTAAAAGAGGTTTTTACACAGTATAATGTTATCTGGCCACAAATAGCTTGGTCACCCATTGAAGGTATGGTTTCAGCAGAGATTATTATACACTACCTTAGTTATACCAGTAATAGGCTGAATGTGGTTGGCTGCTAGGAATGTGAAAACTGGCTGCCAGGAATTCTTGTTTAGTAGTAAAACAAACACTAAAACTGGTTTAACACTAAAAACAGGAATTATAACAATTACAATGAGATCAAGCAGTTACAGTGCCTACTTGTGCCTAGTGTCTTTTAAAGTGGCTCGGTCACTCCCCCTCCCCTATTAATATGCCCCAAATTGTCTCTTTCTGCAGTCCCCTTTATTTCTATTATTTTTTTTTTTTTAACTAAGCTTATTTTCAATATACACAGGTGAGGATTATAAATGCTTTATTCTTTCTCTGAAAAGGCAGTGTTTCCATGAAAATGCCTGAAGGGAGCTATTATACTCACCAGAACAACTACATTAAACTGTAGTTGTTCTGGTGACTATAGTGTCCCTTTAAAAAGAAACAGTATG